TCATTCAAACTGCCTGAAATCTAGCTGAACAGAGTCCTATAACTAAGATATAAAGAAGAAGCCACTTTGATACTGGTAGTAAGGATGAAGATTTAGAACAGGCTGGTCCCACACCTACATGTGACGGATTAAAATTGGGAGAGATATCTCAGCTTTGGAAGTCCCTGCTGAGGATCAAGGGGGTCCCGGACCCATACCAGTTTCCCAAGCGCCTAAAGTCCAGTGAAAGTAAGAGAATTCTCCATAATTTTGGGCTGTGAAAACCAGTGGCGATTGTGGCTGAATGAGACAGAGGGCTGCTGCAGTCGCAGATACATCTCTTAAAGAGTGTGTTCATGAACTTAATCAGACTCACTTGCTCTAAACTCTAGTGCTGGGGCAGCAGCTTAAAAGGCACCAGGGGCATATGGGGAGGAGCTGAATTGTCTGGCAACAGGATGAGAGCTGGCAAGAGGCTGCTTTCTCCTAGACCCAAGTGCTGGCAGAGGCCATTGTTCTTTTGCTGAGCTGAACTCCCACAGACCTGGCAGGCAGGCACCATATATGAGTAGCCAACAACCTGGCTAACACACTGTTGTCCTATCCTGTTGTTTCTCCGAGACCCTGCCCCACCCAACTTTGGGACCCAGCCAAGCACTTTCCAGTGGACTTTTCCATACTAATGTCCTGTCTTGGCTCATGCTACCAACTTTCCTAAAAATTCAAACAAGCAGCATCTGGCCTTTGTGGGCTCCATATGCCAAGTGGCCTCAGGCTGGGCACTAGTGGCAGCTGGTCTTTGTTCACAGTTGGCCTCTCCCAGCACCTCCAATCCCAGCACGAGTAGTAGCTATCTGCAGATTGCTTTGTAGCTCATGCCAGGTGGCCCTGGGTAGGGCACAGGCAGCAACTAACATTGGTCTCCACCTCATGGGATGTCCCAGAGCCAGCACACCTGGTGGACAGATTCAGACCACTCTGAAGGACCACCCAACCATCTCCACAATCAACACACTCAAGGGGAGGACTCAGTGGGCCCAAGAGCCCTGCTGAAGGGAATCCAGCTCTGTGGGATTAGCCCTTGTATAGCAGATCCTCCCCTATAGTTGTTTGCCAGTCCTTGCCGCCAATCAGCCTGGGGGTAAATCCCTCCCATTGACATGCCAACAGCAATCAAGACTCAATTACAATAGGAGAGTACACAAAGCCCACACCTGAAGCACCCAGCTAGGGTGACCAGAGAGGTTGTACCACTAAGTCCTACAGCACACCTACTGCATAAGGCCATTCTACCAAGCCCAGGAGATATAGCAGCTCTACCTATACATAGAAACAAACAGAGACAGCCAAAATGAGGAGACATAGGAACAAGTCCCAAATAAACAAACAGAAGAAATCCCCAGAAAAAGGACTAAACAAAATAGAGACAAGCAATCTATCAGATGCAGAGTTCAAAACACTGATTATAAGGATGCTCAATTAACTTAGCAGAAGAGTAGATGAACTTTGTGAGAACTTCAACAAAGAGGAAACATAAAAATGGAAATATAAAACAAAAAAGAACCAGTCAGAAATAAAGAATACAGTAACCGAAATGAAGAAGACCAATCAAAAGACATATGGTGGGCAGCTGAACAGAGAGGAAAATAAGACCCTTACATATGCTGTCTATAAGAGACTCACTTCAGATCAAAAGATACACACAGACTAAAAGGGATAGAAAAAGATATTTCATGAAAATGGAAAGAATAAAGCTGGGGTGGTAATACCTATATCAGAAAAAATTGACTTTAAAACAAACAAAAAAAGGACCCAGCAAATCCACTTTTGGATATTTATCTCAAGAAACCCAAAACACTAAATCAAAAAGACATGTGAATCCATATGTTCATTGCAGCATTATTTACAATAGCCAAGATAGGGAAGCAGCCTAAGTGTCCATCAACAGATGAACACATAAAGAAGTGGTACATCTATACAATGGAATATGACTCAGCTGTGGAAAAGGATGAAATCTTGCCATGTGCATGGCAACATGGATGGACCTAAAAGGTATTGTGTTGAGTAAAATAAGTCAGACAGAGAAAGACAAATGCTATATGATTTCACTTATATGTGAAATCTAAAAGAACAAAATAAACAAACAAGTAGAAGAGAAACAGGCTCATAGAGAATATTTTGATGGTCGCCAGGTGGGAGGAGAGTTGGAGAGTTTGATGGAGGGATTAAGGAGTACAAAATAGTCCCAGGGATGCAATGTACAGCGTAGAGAAATAGTCAATATAGTGTAATAACTATGTGTGGTGTCAGATGAGTGCTAGAATCCCTGGGGTGATCACTTCATAAGTTATATAAATTAATATAATATTGTATATCAATTATAATTGAAAATAGGAAAATTATTAAAAATAAAAAATTAACAATTGGTAGGTACTTCCATTTGGTTATTAAATAGCAATATTTATTGAGCACATACTATCAGCCAGATAGGGAGACAGGCGCTTGGTAAGCAAAATCACCCTGATCGGTGTCATTAATATTACTGATGAATCTCTATCTTGGCAAATCTAATGGTCAGTTATCTGTTCTCAACTTACTCCCACTCTCAGTAGATTTCACCCTCTTTCCTTCTTCAAATACTTTCTTCTCTATGCCTCTAAAGTGCCATTCTCTCCTGGTTTTCTATCTCCTTGACCAAGTTATCGCCATGTCATCTGCTGGCTCCTCTTTCTCTGGAAAGCTAACGGTTGAACCTTCTTCTCTATCTACATTCTTATCCTAAGTGATCTCCTCTAGTCCTCTTGGCTTAGTACCATCTAGATGCTAATGGCCCTAAAGTCTCTATTTTTAGTCCCCTCTTTACCTTGGGCTCTGGACTAGATCCTATATCCAACTGCCCATGTGATATCTGTACCTGGATGTCCAGTAGGCATCAGGGAGTTATTGATTTCTCCCCAATGTCCTCACACCAAAGCTGTCCTTCTCTAGTCTTTCTCATTCAGTAATTGTATCATTTGCCCTGGCCAAGTGGCTCAGTTGGTTGGGGCATCATCCCATACACCAAAAGGTTGCAGGTTCAATCCCCGGTCAGGGCACATACCCAGGTTACAGGTTCAATGTCCTGTCACGGTGCACATGGGAGGCAACCGATTGATGATTCTCTCTCTCTCCCTCTCTCTTCCTCTTTCTCTAAAGTCAATGAACATACCCTCAAGTGTGGATTTTTGAAAAAAATTTCATCATTTGCTTGACCAAATATCTAAACCTTAGACATTGTATTTAGCTTCATGTAACAGAAGCTAACTTAACACAACAGCAGTTATGTTTTTCACATAATTAGAAGACCAGATGCAGGCAGACCAGGGCTGTGAAGGGGCTTCTTAATGATACCAGTGTTCTGGGCTCCTATCTTTTTCTTCACTGTCCGGAGGGTTGCAAGATGGCAGCTCTTCCTCCAGCCTCCAATCCACATTCCAATGGGAAAGAAAAGGAAGGGATTAACAAGGTCGAAGGCATAGAGCCTATAAGGAAATAGCAAATACCCCAGAAATTCCCAGCAGACTTCTGCCTGTCTCTCATTGTCCAGAACTGTGCTTCAAACCCTACCTCAGCTTCCAGAGAGGCTAGGAAATAACAGCTTTCTAGCTAGGCACATTGCTACCCCATACAAATCAGGGCTCTGACATATGGAAGACAGGTAGAATGTATATCAGATAGACAATAACAATGACTACTCTAGCATCCTGGACTTTTCTCTTTCCCTAGACTTCATTAACAGGCCATCAGCAAGTACTATCAGTCCCATCTCCAAAACACTTAACAGATACAATTGTATCTCTTCAGTTCTCCAAATCCTGGCTTGAGACACCATCAACTCTCACCCAGATCAAAGCAACAGCCTTCTCTACATTCCTTCTTTCACACAGTAGCCAAGGTAACTGTTTTAAAATATAAGCATAAGCCCTGGCTGGTGTGGCTTAGTGGACTGAGTGCCGGCCTGCAAATCAAGAGGTCACTGGTTCCCAGTCAGGGCACATGCCTGGGTTGTGGGCTGGGTCCCTGGTTGGAGGCATGTGAGAGGCAATCTATCAATTTATCTCTCATGCATGGTTGTTTCTCACCCTCTCCTTCTCCCTCCCTCCCCCCCTCTCTAAAAATAAATAAATAAAATCTTTTAAAAAATAAAAATATATCTATAAGTCATACCATTCCTGTTCTTAAATTCTACAGAGGATCTGTTACAATTTGGATTCCCCCTGAAGCAGACCCTCAGATGAGCATTTGTGTGCAGGTCTTTTATTTGAGAGGGTCAGGACACATGGGATGAGGGGGCATGTAGTGAGACAAGGAAGAGAAGGTGGTCTGGAGATGGTGCGATGTCAATCCAGCCTCACCAGGGGCAACAGAAGCTTGCCCTCAAGCGAGGCATTGGGAAATTGTTTAAAATACTTGCCTCAGAATTAGTGCTCCAGTGGGCAAGGGAAGGTATTTATACAACAACCCCCAAGAGTCCCTGGCTCAGCTCTTTTGGCCTGAGCCCTTAGTCCTGCATCTACCCCTTCCCTGACCTAACTCACTGAAAAGCCACTATTTTCTTGTATTTATCAAGCTTTCTGCTTATAGTTTCTTCCATTTGAAGTGGAATCAGAAGAGACACAGCCACTTCATTTCTTCAATAGGAAAGAAGTTCAAAATATAATTGAAGGATGATGAGTCTGTCTTAGAAGTTTGCTAAGTGATAGTCTCAATGAAAGCAGCTAAATTTTTCTGATGCTCTCTGACAAACAAAAAACATCTTTATAAGATTGGAGAACATCAACTAGGGCATATGAGATTTGAAATATTTATTTAAAATCAATATGTTAAGGTATACATCACTTAATAATACTACAGCAATTAATTATATGTGTATTATATCTATAAACAGTATTACAGTAACTATAGATCTGGAGGGTATAAATGAATAACAAGCAATTAACGTGAGATATTTTTGTGCTTTTAGATTAGCTTGCTACTTATCTTTACTCTCCTTTCTTCATTTGTTCGACAAAGTAATCATTGCAAGCAACTGTCAGGGCTGCCACCATGACCACAAATTCATTAAAACCCACTTCATTGTCCTTATTGGCGTCCAGGTCTTGCATTATCTTATCAACCAAATGGGGGTCCTTCTGGCACTAAAAGGAAAAAGAAAATTTCTGACTCCCAGGCTTTGAGATTCAAAATGACAACTGAAATCGCATCTTCTTTTTATCTATATTAAAGTTTTTATTTTCATTTTTAGCACCTAAGGACAATTTCCAAAAGCCTATTTGCAGGTAGCTTTGAGCCAGGCACTGATTCTAAATGAGTCTAGCACTTTGCCCCCAGGCCATATAATTCTGGCTCAGGCGTAAAGACCAAGAAGATCAAACGGTAGCTCATCACGAGCTGATGCTGAAAATGCACTTACTACATGACATCATCGGTCAGGGCCAGGACACAGGGAGGCAGGCAGGGAACACGGAAAGAACATTTTGTGATGGAAAAAGGATAGTGTGAGTGGCTCTACCATTTACCAACAATGGTACTTTGAGCAAATCACTTAACGTTTTTAAATTTCCTTATATATAAAACGGGGAGAATAGTATCACCCCACAAACTTGAAAGATATTTCAACATACTTGTAAACGTGTTTTGTGCCAGGTCGCTATATTTAGCAAATAAAAATAACATGACACTTAGTTAAATGTGAATTTTCAATGAACAATGAATGTTGTTTTAGTACATTGCATGGGATGTACGATATTTTGTCTGGCAGCCGTACCGAGTGCAATGCCTCACACATAAAAGAGGCACCGAATAAAGGACAGATCTTATAGGAATGATTGCATGTACGAGTGAATAGTAAAGCAAGGAGCCCACGGAGGAGATCAGGGTTCAGAGACGGTAGGACTGTGAAGCACTCGCCCTTCCTATGATTCGTGGTCAATGAGAAATGATTCCAGAAGTCGTTCATTTCTCCAGGAATTCCCCACTGCCCTTTCATTAGATGCCAACCATCAAATGGTTGGAAACTTGAACTGAGTCGATCAAGATCAACTAATCAAAAACGATTATAAATTTCACTTGATTAAATCAAGGTGCTAAGTTTGACTGACTGAAATTTTTATTCTAAATGTTATGTAATATAGTAGCCAAACTGAATTTGGGGGAAAAAAACAGTTCCTGGGTACTCCTAAAAATCACTAAAAAGGTATTGTGAAGAATTACTACATTAACATATAGCATGTGACAATAGTTAATAATTGCATATTGGATAGTTGCTAAGAGAGTAGATCCTAAAACTTCTCATAACAAGGAAGAAAAATTTTGTAACTATACATGTATGTGACAGATGATATTTAAACTTATCGTGGTGATGATTTCACTATACAAATATTGAATCACTAAGTTGTACACCTAAAATTAATATAATGTTATATGTTAATTATGCCTCAATAAAAAAACTATACAAAAATATATAAATTACTATTTGCTCTACCAATATACTAAAAATAAAATAAAATTGTTTTTGGATTACAAAAGATAGTTCCTAAAATATTACTATTAAAATTTTTACTTTAAGCTTTTCCCATAGAGGGTAGGAAGAAGAGTGTTGTAATTACAATCACTATAGTCTAAGTACAGGGTTTGGACAGAATATCATCTGCAAGAGTAGTACATTGTGCGAAAGTCAAGTTGAGGCAGCTCCATAAACATCAGAATGAAGAGTTTCTCGCCGAGGAGGCCCCAAACACTGCACTGTGAGGTTTCATGTGTAGACGTATGAGAATCTTGGCTATATTGAGATGTTTGACTGTTGCTACTCAACTGGTCACTGGCCAGATACACCCTTTCCATCAATTCTTATCAGCTTGTGCTTGGCTGACAAAGCTAAGTATTTGTCACTCATCAGAAAATTTGCCACGACAAATTTGCCAGCGTAAAGTATCCCAGGCTTCATTTCTGGCCCTATAAACAGTATTAATTTACAAACAGCTGGACAAAGCTCCAGGTATAACTAGTGTAACTAGCTATAACTACAGTTACAGTTAGCGGTTATACAGCTATAATAGCTATAGCTTTGCTGCACCGGGAAGTTGGAGAATTCATGAGAGCCTGAAGTATATCTTACAATACTTGGAAACCCTAGCCACAGGTAATACAAAAAAGGGCACCCCCGGATGGATGTACACAGAAAACAAAGGTTTTTCATGTTTGTGTCCCCTGTGTTTTGAATCTCAGTGAAGAATCACGGGAGACTATGTACACAGAGGCAGTCCCTGCGTGTGCCCTCATCTGCCCACGACTGAACGGGGCAGAAGAGCCGGGACTCACCGAGAGGAAGTCCGTGAGCTCTTTCTGCAGGAGCATCTTCAGATCCCCCTTGCTGAGCTTGCATCTGTCCCCTTCCTTGCAAGAGTACCGGTGGAAGATTCTAATCATGGTGCCCATGGCCATCTCCATCTGCGTGGGCATGCTGGCAGCAGAGCCGACCGCTCCCGGGGCAGGCCGCCCAACCCAGGGCTTGTCCAAAATAAGCAGGTAGAGAAACACTGACACTTCCGTTAAAATAAAATATTACATGTTCGTAAGTTAACAATCAGACAACAAAGACAGTCATATTAAAACACAGGCTAAAAACAAACAGAGAAAGAAAATACCTAACCATACCTCTCTAGCCAGGCCACAGTTCCGTCAACAGGTGTTTGCAATGAAATCATACGCGTTTATACTGAGGGTTCCTCTTCAGCACACCTGTTTCCAAGAACATGAAAATTACCCACGACAAGAGATTTGAAGGGAAGAGCCTCTGTGCCTGTTTTTAATCACCAGAAGGAACAGGTGTGAGCTGCTGCCCCAAGGGCCATTAAGGAAGGGTTGTTCCCCATCAACATGGGCAGTTGTGCTCACCATGTGCATTAGAAGAGAAGGCAAAGAGATGGGGAAGGAAGCCTTCTGTGGTCCCTCATTACAGGGGGTAGAAATGCAGTCAGTTGCTAGGAAGTTGATGAGAGGGGAAAAACTCTAAAAATAGAGGAGCAAAGAAAAAACCACTGGTTCAAACCTGGAGACTGCTCAGCGAAGCCAATAGCAAGGTCAAGGGAATAAACTCAGAGCAGGCTAGTTCAACTAATCCAATGGGCAGTTGTACAGCTACAAAAAAGAATGAGGAAGCTCTTTATGTGCCAGTTTAGAAAGGTACAAAGCAGAATCCTCGCTGTGTACGAGGGAAATAAAATAAGAATATATATGCGTAGTACTTGACATTCGAAAACTGAGTCACTGAAAGGCTACTAAGAAGGTAGTAACAGTGGTAGCCCAAAGGGCCAAGGCGGGAAGAGGGTGGAACAGAGTGGTTGGAGTAAGATTCCTCATTTGCACCTTTTCAACTGATTTTAACTTTTTCAGTTTTAGGAATGTATTTCCTAGTTAAAAAATTGAAATAGAATAAAGCCCAGAGCAGCTGTGTATGCAGGAATCCATGGGGTAGGGATTTCCAAGGGAGAAAAACTTAACAAAGAAAAAAATCACTAAAAAAACTAAAGCCAGAAATTGACCACTGTGCCTACCCTCTCAGAACTGAAATATAATCATAGGAAAAGCAAACCAATATCTCCTTTTTATTTCCTTTCAGCAAGCCTACTGGGACAGAGCCTTCACCAGCCCATCCCCCTCCTTCTTACCCCCTGAACACTCCACCAAATATTTTTAAATTAGGCTTCTTTTTTTTATCATTAAACTGATAATGCATATAGTAAAACAATAATAATACATGGAATACTCAGGATTATGAAATAAAAGTAAATTTCTCTCTCCACCATTGCCCCCCATCGCCCCCTTTGGTTCAGCCTTTCTTGTGAAAGGCACAGACTTGCCTGGCTCCAACTCTCGCCTCCGCCACTGCGGAGTTGTGTGATCCTGGGCTAGTCATTCACTGCTCTGTGTCTCAGTTTCCCAATCTGTGCATATGGGATAACAGTAGTACCCACCCAAAAAACATATTAAATTAGAATAGGAACATAGTAAGTGCTATGCATATGTCAGCTATTACCCTTACCAAAAAAAATATGTGCCCTGGGGGTCTGCCCAGAAGGTATCCAGCCATGTAATAAGAAAAATAGAGACATTGATTGAAGAAGATACAAGAAATGTACACAGGACAATGATACCTCAGTCCCCTTCAAAGTAGTCACCTTGGGACCTCAAACAGTTCTACCAATCTCCCTCAGCTGCTCTGTTGTATTTTCCTGAATCTCAGTGAAGTTCTGAAATCTCTTTCCTTTCAAAGGTGATTTTAGTTTTGGAAAAACCGGAAGACTCAGGGCTCCAAATCTGGGCTGTAGAGGGGCTGAGTCACCTGGGTGACTTGATGTTTCACTGTTTCACCAAAAAAAGAGGAGGAATGTTCAAGCCTAATGCAAAATTTGATGCAGATTCATTGTTGTACATGCTCAGTCATCTTGAATGCAACAGCCACACAGTGCACATGCTTGCTCAACAGCATCTAATGCCCCCACTGACTAGCACAGTGAAGTTGTCATTGTTCATGTATGTGCATTCCAGTCCACTCTCCTTGGCTCCAGGGTACATCAATGTCACGCAATGAGTTCTTGTTATATTAACAATGGCTGGACTTTTTCTGGACAGGCCTCACCATATATATCCTAGAATCTTGCTGTATAAGCACATATAGATCTACCCCCTTCTTCATTAAAGTTGCATATTATTCCACTGGATGAATGTATCTACACAGTCAAGAAATATCAGGCACTTACGCTACACCAGGCCGTGTGCAAACAAGACAGAAGAAGCTTGCCCTTGGAGCAAACCTTGTTGCTGTTTTTATTGGGTGGTGTTAAATATATAGAATGCAGGGAACATTGACATCTTTTTTATTTTGGGTCTTCCTATCCAAGAACACACAGGCTTTGTGACCACGGTCTTCTGGGTCTTCTTAGTTCTGAATGCACTTTCCCTCCTCCAACTCTTAAACATCGTTCTCCCTAGAGACTACAGCTACTTCTAAAATTTCAATCACTCTCCAAACCATATATTGGCCCAGATCTCTCTGCTAACCTCTAAAACCACCTATCCAACCGTCTGCTGGACCCCATTTCTACCTGAGTGTCCCAAGAGCTTCCCAGACTCAATTAGGAGCAAAACCCATGTTGTTCAATTCCACCCATCACCCAGCTTCTGGAACTATTTTAAAATATCAGCTGAACTCATCCACTTCTCTCCATCCTTTACCACCTTCAGAACTTCATAAATTTTGGCCTCTATTACAGCTCTCTCTGCCTTCTGTCTGTTCCCTCCATTCTGATCTACATTCTACTGTCAGGGGAGTTTGTATAAAATACAAAGCAGCGTCCTCACTCCTAGACATTCAAAGGTCTGGCTCTGCCTACAAACTGTTCTCTCATTCTTCTGCCTTGGCTCTGGGCCCGCTACCTGAAATGCTAATTGTGTTCACCCCTGAAGGCTCAGTCTAAATGTCTCTTCTCCCCAACCTCCACCCCTGTCCTCTCTTATCCCCTAGAGCGTCCCCTTGTATTTTTTATCATTGTATTTATCACATATTCCTATAATCACTTTTTTTCCTGCCCACACACTTTTCACCCTCCTGTCTTTGCATGAGTTCTTGGATGGCAGAGTTGATGTCTGGTTCATCTGTGCATTCTGCAACTTTAATACAGTATCAAACAGGTGGTAGAAATGCTCAGAAATCTTTGCTGATGGATAGAGTGATGAACATGACTTGGAGAGGGAAACTAAGATTTCCAAAGAGTTAAACCTTTTCTGGTTTAACTGTCTAAAGAATTGTTTGATTTGCCTTTATTCTAAATAAAAAATGTGCTTCATCAATGGGAAAGAGAGAGAGATGGGCAGGGGCAAAATAGTCATTTTAAAGACGATAAAGTTTGAATTTGGAATTAAATATTATCAGGTTAAGCTGCTCAAGTTAAAACTGCACTAAAATGGGTAAGTTTTGCAGAGTATGTGAGTCTCAACAGTATTATATTTAAATCATATTTGACCATATATTAATTCACTTGGAGAATTCAGTTGGCAGGGAAAACTCTAAATAGAATAGATATTTAAAATTGTGATATTGTAGCCCTGACTGGTGTGGTCAGTGGGCTGGGCATCATCCTGCAAAGTGAAACGTCGCAGGCTCAATTCCAGCCAGAGCACCTGCCTCGGTTGTGGGTTCAGTCCCGATAAGGGCATGTGTAAGAGACAATGGATCAATGTTTCCCTCCATCTCTCCCTCCCTTCCCCTCTCTAAAATAAATAAACAAATAAATAAAATCTTTAAAATTGTGATATTTTAGCCATATGCGCCTTTAGGTTCATTATGGCATTATTTACAATAGTCAAGATATGAAAGCAACCTAAATGCCCATCGATTGATAAGTAGATAGAGAAGATGAGATATTTATATATATTTAAAATGGAATATTACTCAGCCATAAAAAATAATTAAGTCTTGCCATTTATGACAATACAGGTGGACATGGAGAGTATTATGCTAAGTGAAATAAGTCAGACAGAGAAATACAAATACCATATGATTTCACTTATATGTGGAATCTAAAAATCAAAACAAACAAACAAAACAATCCAGAAACAGATTCATAGGTACAGAGAACAAATTCAGGTGTTGCCTAAGGGTTTTGGGCGGGGAGGTATGAAAAAGATGAAGATTAAGAGATACAAACTTCCAGTTATAAAATAAATAAGTCACAGGGAGGTAATGAAGAGCATAGAGAATATGATAAAAAATGCTGTAATAACTTTGGATGGTGACAGAAGACAACTAGGACTTAGGGTGTTGATCACTTTGTAATGTATATCAATATCAAATCACTATATTGTACCCCTAAAAATAACTTAAGTCAATTGAACATCAATAAAAAAATTGTAATGTGGTAATCTCATTTGAGATGTGAGAATATGGACTCTAGATCCCTCGTTGTTGGAGTTTAAAAGCAAAGTATTGAAGAGTTCCCGCTGGGTTACTGCTTTGGCTTTGGGAGTGGAGCCAGCTGTTTCCTTTGTGCATGCTGCCCCTCAGTGTCAGGCGGTGGGAGCGCCTCAGGAAGCTGCTCATCCCAGGAGACGCTTCATACTGTTGGAGAGAGACCCTTTTCCAGGGGCTTATCTGTGATGTGAGCCAGACTCAGTCCCTGTTTTTCAGAAGACTTTCAGAAACAAAGATAATGTCAAAAACCTCTCCAGGCCTGCGTCAGGCTATGGACACAAATCTACAGATGAGGAGATCCCAGGGCAGCCAGGGGAGACATGCCTGTTTACAGCTCGGAAGGGTCCTCCGATAGCGCCTTACTTGCTCTACGGTTATATTTTTTACTACTTTTTAATTTTTGGCATGAGATATGGCCCTTAAGGCTAAAAGGAACAATTTAACACCTAAGATAGTATGCAAAGAATGAGAGAAATGGAAATATCAGATA